GTTGCTATAGAAACCGAAAATCGCCAAAATTCATCATCAGTGTTTGATACACCGCCGACAGAGGATGATGATCCATATAAATTTAGAATGGAAGAAGATACGCAAAAAGACACAGAAACTTCCATCAACTCGCTTTCCAAAAAAAGAAAGCGAGCTTTCAAACATATTCAAAAAATACAAAGAAAAAAAGCAAACAATTCGGATATTGATCGTAATGATAATGATGATGATGGTGATGATGGTGATAATGGTGGTAACAATAATGATAATAATGATAATGATAGCGATAGCAACAAAAAACGTGAGGAACGTATCAAAAAAGGCACTTCGCATCTTGAATCGATTCGAGCCGAATTGGATACTATTGATGAAAATGCAACAGATGATGAGTATGAAGATCAATTCAATGATGGGTTAATCGATGATGATGCTGATAGAGAAATCACCTATCTCCTGGATAAAAATACATTCGATCCATCTATTTTCAAAGATAACAGAGAACCTGGAACATCCTACAAAAAAATTTAACCCAAATATGTAAAATTCAGACAAATCGATATCAAGCAAAGACCACCTTGTAAAAAGACAGTTAAAAAACTCAATTTGATATTCAAAACAAATTTAGAGAAATATGAATGGCAGAAAGACTCACCCATAAAATATCCATTTAGTGTGGATCCTAACAAGATCTACACACTAGATGAAGTTTCAGGAAACCCAACGACAAATTTTTGGATCAATCGTGTGACCGATATGTTCCGTAATAAAATTCATTACGCTGATTTTAAACACTAGCGATGACTTGATCGAATTTAGATTGGCTTTGGGATATGTTCCTGTACAATACAAGCCATTTTGTTTGGAGATGTTTAAAATGAAAGAAAAATTCGCAAAAGAGACAACAAATCCAAAAGCGTATGGCCCTTTTTCTATTTGGGCGAATTGGAAATGCTTACATATTGTTATTGGAAGCTTTCCACGCAAGACGTGTTACATATGGAGTTAACACAAACACAAAAGAAAAACCTCAAAATCTTACTCCAGCAAGCTGCTAAAGATTTTAAGAATATGCCAATATCCACCGAAAATAAAGATGAATTTGATGCATTTTATTTCGAATTTTTTGAGCCAGCATTTGAAATACAATAGGCAACAATTATGGGAACATTAAAAGAAGCATATAAATAATTTTTGATAGCATTTTTCTCATAATTTTTCAACGTTTTAAACTGTTCGTTTGCATTTAAATCATCGTCAATGGAAAACAGCGGCGGCTCAGATTGAGATGTACAACTTCTACGGAAATTTTGAAAGTGTACGATGTTCCGTTTTCAGACACATAGACTAAAAAACATGATCTCATTCGATCCAAAATATCAGTCACACGATCATTAATGAAAATAGTGGCAAATGGTATGACAATTGCAACTCCCGCGACATACCTTTTCCCGCACAGGTATCGATCTAAATTTTTCGACCATATTCTGTTGGTAGTTTCATTTAGTGTTTTATTTGATGTTGCATTTTTCAAGACTTCATCAAACTTTCGCATTACATCGTGTATAACCTTATCCGGAGTTTTACCAATCATATTTTCATATTCTAGAATCATACTTTCATCCAGAGTTTCCGATTGAATGCCCAACGAAGGGTTTTTTTCCAATAAATACTTCAGATCACCGGTAGCCAAGTCTGACTTAAATTCAGACAATGTGCTATCTGCAATTTTTATATTTGAATTGACTGTGGACACAGGAGCATTAGATAGTATGTTGGATAAAATTTTATTTTCAATTACATTATTTTTTAGAATATTGGCTACACTTGTTTCACTAGTTTTCAGTATACCGTCTAATCCGCTTTTTGTTACAGACGCAAGGGACTCTTTTAGTAAAACTTTTTCAATGTCCTCCAATCCTCTTAACACGGATTTTGCCATGATAATAACCAATCATGCTCTATATAAGCATAAGCTTTATTCATAGCTTGTTCAAATCTAGTATCGTACGTGAAAAAGTCAGAATCAAATACAAATAGACTCGTATGATAAACTCTAGGAGATGTTGTCTGACTGCATTCAATGGCTTTAGTGCAATGGAATACAAATTTATTTATAATTTGTTTAGGGGTTAGCATGCTGTCAGTTTTAAATTCATCCAATTCAAATAGGTGATATTCAACTGTTTTTATATTCTTCTGATAATGACATAAACCAGCATTACACCCAAATAAATCATTTTCCAAAGGCTTTACCTTATCATCAGCATACCCATAATCTTTTAGGGTGCTCAAAAGATAATCAATTGATTTAAGTTTCATGGAAATGTTATCGCTGATATTTTCAAATGAAACTTGATCCAAAATTGGTGTTTTAAATGTCATATCTGCAACACGACTTTTAACTTTATCCTTGTTTGTCTTTGTCTTTTCATCTATTCGTGATATTTGAAGGCAGGAGAAACAGCTAGGCACAAGCTTCGAAGAAAAGGATCCTGTAGTTTTTTGTTCCACCGGTTCGGTTGTTGCTTCATCGATTTGTTGGTCACGAGCAACTTTTCGTTTTTTTGCCGGTTTAGTGTAAAAAGATTGATTTGCAGTAACAATGATAGCCGCATTATGAATCAATTTTTTTGAGTTAAAAACAATGATGGTGAGTACAAAATTGATCCAATTAAGCAAATCGGGATATTTTATAATCAATACTTCATATTTTTTGTTCTTTGCGTAAAGGATGGACAACTCTATGATAAGCATTCGCTTCTTCTGATGTTCAGTTAGCTTGATTGTTTTGTCCTCATAACAATCCCAGATAACAGTGAAAGCATTCAACCATCCATCTTGAGTTGAATCATCGAGTAAATTCATTTCTGTGAATTTAACGTAGTCCTCTTTAAGCGTTTTATAATATAGCTCACCTTCGTCAAGATCTTTCATTTGCATTTCCAGGTCTTTTTGTAGCTTCCCATCAGTCAACCCTGAAACTGGTTGCATGGATTCGCAGTTAGTATTTTGCATGCTTGTGAAAAAAGATTATTGTTAAAATATGGAGAAAAAAATCGAACAAAACGAAAAACTTAAAACCAACACAAAAAAATGGACCAAATGATAATTCACTTGTGTTTCAACTGTTTGTCGATGATGTTAACTCTTTGAATGAATTCAAAGTTAAAAAATTTCCAACTATTTATACAAAAATTACCGAAGAGTTTCTCTCGATAATTGCCACTCATGCAAAAAGGCAATTGTTAGGTTTATCCGTTGAAATGTATGAATCGCAGATAAATTTATTACACGAACTTGTTGATGATTTAGTTAAATTGTATGGCTTGGAAATTTCAGTACCCATTGCCGGGAATAAATATCTCAATACAAATGTATGGGGGCCTGTTTATTGGAAATTTATACATTGGACATCTATACTGGTGGAACAGGCATTCAAAGAGAGGAGAAAAAATTTATGCCTAAAATTTAGTAAATTCATTGTGACTCTTGACACTTATTTACTGTGTGGGATCTGCAGACACCATTATGCTTCGGTAAAGAAAACTAAAGAATTCATGCTGATTGCACAAACTAAACTGGCATTCGGAAATTTAATCGACGGGTGCTTTCAAATTCATAATTTGGTTACCAGAGAACTGAATAGACCTGAATTTTCCATCACCGATTTCATCCGTCAATATTCAATACTTATCTTGTAATGTTTCTCACAACCTAAATCGGTAAGCAATCGATCGGCCACAAATTCAATATATTGAGACATCAGCTTTTCATTCATACCAATAAGGGAAACCGGCAAAGCATTAACTAGCTAGTAGCAGCTAGCTTTCAGTCATTGCAAGCCAATTTTTACAGTTTTTACCCGACTAGCTTGGGTATCTAAACTTTTCAATTTGCACTTGTTAAAGTTACTTTAGCAATTGAGCTTTCAAATTATGCATAATTTTCGTAACAATTTATTGCTACAAAGCCTGTTTAACTTGAAGATGATCTTTGCTTTGTAGCTTAAATGCTAAGCTTCATTGTGAAAACAACCATTCCACCGAAATCACGTCAAAGTATTTAGGTGAAACAAGGGTGTCCATTTCATGTGACTCTCCAAAGGTGCAAAATCAGTGCCCTATAGAGGACATTCATGGGTATATTCAAGCCACGGAAAAAACACTCGTGCTATTACGGTTACTTCTAACCGGTTATCACACTCTTATGACAATAATGACCGCCAAATAACTCGTTAGTGGTAAGCATCTCCCCTCCAGTTTTGACCAACTGAGTTTAATCATTCCAATTAAATCACCTTGTTTTGCTGTTATCAGTTTATACTTTCAAGTTCTTTGATTTTTTAACGAAAAATTCGATAATTGTTTATACTTGAATTATAAATTGATATAATTCATCATCAATTCAAATTATGTATTTTGCTATGAAGAGGAGGACTACTCCTTCAGGAGTAATTCATTACTCTGACTTGCAAATTTTTTTCACTCCACTTTTTCCTCAATAAACAATTTTTCTTTAAAATTCTGACGAATTTGAAAGGGAAAATTTCTCATCATTTTTTTTCATAATCAGTAAATACTGTGGTTACTTTCATAGTGTTTCCTGGATCAGAAACAGTCCGGTTTTTGGTGACAAATAATTTGATGTGTATTGATGAACAGAACATTTTTTCTCACAATTGAATTTCCATTTTGACCATCATTAATCAAATTTCAATAGATCAGTTTTTTCACTTTCAAAGCATGAAACTTTGAATTCCAGCTGTTAATGGAAGCTCACAAAAAATTGAAATTTATTGCAACAATATTTTACAACATGAAGTCGATTAATATCAACTGTCATCAGTAAAATTTTTTACACCTTCTCTAACCTTCTCTCAATTGAAAAGCATAAGTTGACAAGGAAAACAGTACAAGTTGACTGCAAAATATTAACAGATTGCCGTATTTGCGTGTATAATGTCACGGGGCTCTTATCAATGACATGATTATCGAGACCGTCTTAACTCAGAACATAAAATGAAAATCGAAAAAAATATTCAAAACATTGACTCTATTGACCGGTCGAAACGATCTCAACTAGCCAACAAACTAGCCATAAACAATAGTTCATGAGCTACTGAGTGGACAGCAAGACTGTTTTTATTTGAGCGACCGCACTTGTCAGCACCGTGACTAGCACGTCGATTGCGAAGTGAATTGAAAATGAAAATTTAATCAAAAAATAAACTTCTATTTCTCGGATGGACTCAAGTCTAGATGGAGCCACCCAACTGAAAATGAACTTTTCATTAAACTGTTTCTTTTTTTATCTTTTTGCAGGTCGCAAAGAAAAGGATCCGTCACAAGCCAGGTCGAAACATGACATCGAATCTTCGCCATGCAAATGCTTCTTTGGCAAAAAATGATTCAACTCGTTGTAAAGAAATGGATTCAATTAATAGTATCAACAATTCACCCAACATGGAGTGTAATCGTAATTACAATACAATAACCTCTCATGATGGTACCAATGCTGTTGCAAATGAAAATACTCCTGATTCAGCGTCAAACAGTGTTTATAATGAGAGCATACAAAGTGAAGAGATAATTAGATCTGTTGATGTTAAGCTGGATTCTGGTTCAAATAAAAGTTCACTCATTTTACGATCAACTAATCCTTCTTCAGGCCATTCTAAGGCTTACTGTCAAGTGGCGAGTAATGCTGGACCGAAAGAGTCTCTGGAAGCTAAACGGGAACGTAAAGCGGCTAAAACTTTGGCCATTATTACTGGAGTTTTCGTCATTTGTTGGTTACCCTTTTTTATTCTCGCTTTAATTCGGCCCATCTGTGGTGACTCTTGTTCCCCACCGAAAATGGTTCAGAGTATATTTTCATGGCTTGGATTCACCAATTCAACTCTTAACCCAATAATTTACACAATTTTTAGCCCCGAGTTTAGAACTGCTTTCCAACGAATCCTTTTAGGTCGCCAATCCAATTCAAGAGCTTCTTGTAATGTGTGACTATTGTTGATCAAATGTCAACTTCATCTTTACGTGCTCTTTTGTAAATCATCATTAAAAATAAATATATTATTATCACTCTGTTCCTAATTAGTCAATCTAAATGATTATGTATTTGACAATTAATTGATAAATTGAAAGAAGCAATTCTACAAGTGAAGCTTTAAAATCCAAAATACTTGAAAGTTGAGTAGCCATTGAATAGTGGTATCAATGTTTGGTCAAAAATAAATTTTTAAATGACACAAACAAGGCTTCGAAATCAGTCTTTGAAATCAGGTTGAATATTATATTTGTCATCAAAGCGATTGTTATTATACAAGTTCACAATTTATAATATAAATGAATTTTTGAGATTTGTTTTGGAATTGAATTTCAATGTGTTGAGGATTTCAAAAATTTGATGGTTCAATCTCCATTTTGACTGTAAAATTGGTACATTGGTCAGCTTGATTCAAATCTTAATTGTTTTGGAAATGATTTTATTTGACTGTTAGATAAGCAAACAGAGATCAATTTGAGTATTGACAATTATTGGTAATTATTTGCCTTTTGTTTTTTTGTCAACAATTGATTATAAAAATGAAAAAAAATGTTTGGACTTAAAGATGACTTGACTTCATAAATAATAAGCTTGAGCCTTCACATTCATTTTGACTCCGTGCGTGTTTATCATTGTTGATTCTGTTGGATATAAGCGGTGAATCGTTCATGGCTTGAGTCATTTCTTTGTTTTGTTCGCTGGAAAACAATAATTGGTGTTGATGAAAAATTGATTTAAAGTTAACTGACAATTATAAATTTTTCAAAGTAAAAGAGTGGAATTGGTTGATGGAATCCTTGGTAGTTTGTGTGCATAATTTTGTTGTAATTCATATTAAAATACAGATAACTGAATTGTAGTGAAGAGTATAACCCATTAAGATTAAGGATTGGTTAAATTGATTTCATAACTAGGAAATTAAGTTGACTTGAATGAATGTTATGGCAAAAATTTAAAGGAAGAAATTGGGAGCAACAAGGTTGACTTAATTTCATGTCTTCTCTCCTATTAACACTAAAGTCCTAATAAATATACAGAGTACATAGACATAAATATCCATATATAATATATATATTCAGAAATTTGTATAAAATATTGAATGGAGTCCTTAATATCCGACAAGCTGTTGGTGAGCCCAGTTGAATGCGTCAATCATGGTCGATTGAATTCTATGCACACCATCGGCGAAGGTTCCTTGAATCTTTTGGAAGGATACACCATCTAAATTAAGATTTTCATTTATCCATGCTCCTAAGTTGATTGACAAATCCTTGAAATTTTCTTGACCAACAGCAAGATAGCTGCCTACTCCAGAGGTGAATTTTGAGACACTGTTGACGATCATTGGGATGACAACTTCATTTGTATATTCTAATCTCAATGGAAAGTTCTTGTAAACCCATGCAGAAACTGGTTCTAAAAGCTTTGCCAGGTGTCGATAACCAGATACTATGCCCTCTTTGATTTTATCAGCATTCATAAGCTTGTACACGCTGGCAGTGAAAACTGGTAATTTGGTTGACATCTCCTTATTGATCGTTTGATAAATGCCAAGGATTCCACTATCTTTCATCCATTTACCAGTGACAGATTCTGTAAGGTATAGCGTTAAGAAAAGCAAAAAATGATTAAAATATAATAAAATCTTTTGAAGAAGAAATATTGAAAATCCTTGCACTAACAGTACGCAAATGGACATTATTGTCACATGTACATGTACCTGAAGATGCTGAGGTCATCTGTCATCTAGTAATCATAAAGGTCAATTGAATTGATACTTACTTTGGAAGCTTCCATGATTAACAACATCATAATATACAGCAGTACCAACGCCAATTAAAATGAAAAAAAGGGGTAATTTGAAGCTTAAATTAAGTCCAATTGTCATGTTTATAGATGGATGAGATCAAAGATTGAAGGTAATATTTGAGTAATAATAATTTAAAGTCAAAAAGATGATTCTTGAATAAGCTTAAGACACGTTGTCACAATGGTGAAAAATCAGAGATTCAAATTAATCAAGATTATAAAAGGAAAGGATAAAAACGTTCATGATCAAAACTGAAACAACAGCAATTTAGAAATTATTGGCTGAGATTAATCTGCCAAGATACCTAGAAAGGAAAATAGACAGATGACAGAGGATTGCAGAGCTAAGCGAAGATTTTTGTAGACAGAGGAAAAGAAAGGGATGAGAAGCAAAAAGTCAAAGATGATTTGGCGGGTAAAGGTAATTTGGTAACAAGTCCAAAATGAAATGCTTTCTATTAGCAAAATATAGCCCGAACTAGTTCACCTTTATCATTTAATTTAATCTTTTATTTAAAAATTTAAAAGTCAATTGTTGTATTTCTAAAGACAACAATCAAATTATTTTATTTAAGTGTTGCTTTAGTATTCGTTGAGCAATACTATCGATGTCTTAGCCAATAACATTGATATATTGAACTTACACTCAACCTGAGGTTTTGATAGTTTTTGTATTGTTTCAAATTGTTTCACCGTATTATTCATTCAACCTAATTTTGAATCAACTGACGAATAAGACTATTGTTAAAGTTTCGGCTCCAATTGACAATTCAAATCAGGACCAGGCTTTTAAAATTGAAGTTTTTTATCAGTTAGTGTAAACATTCTTTAACAGTAATTTTTAGACGGCTAATTATTATATAAATATCAGGTTTACTTCATTTGATGAGCTCACAATAATTTTCAGGTGCTTACAATAACAAGAAACAATCAGTCTGATTTTGTTTCTGCCCAATTCTGATCAATTGAAGTCAATTGTCTAGCCTCATTCACTTTTAACATAACTCGCAACTTGTCAAGTAAATGCTTTGGATTGATGGAACAATTGATCTCATTGACGATCATCTTGAAGCATCCAAGGGATTGAAGATACGAAATGGATACTAACAATAACAATAACTTGTAAGTTAGCCAGCTAATTTTACATTCAATGCAAAAATGACTATTTGCTCATTAAATTATACTTGACATTATGGCATAGCCTATTACCAAAGTGAGTGAAATGGTAAAAGTATGCAGCTTAGCATTTTTTATTAAAATACTAGGAATATTTTTGCAGTAAATTTACTGTTACAATTAAATTAGCGTGCAAGTTTTTTAACAATTAAGACATCTTTGGCTATTGCAATGGGTCTACTGAATCTAGAATTCCTAGATGCAAATAGATAATTTAGCAAATGTGAAATGTATTTCGATGAGGCAGAGTTGTTGAATGATTTTATGAACAATACAACATAAGGCATAAGTTAAAACAGTAAGTAGTTAGTAATAATAATTCATGGGAGCCATTTGCATTGGCAACTGGTTAGCGTAGAAATGACTTGGATAATATTCATAATTTACATTCCTTTGTTGGTACAATCCCAGGTATTCTTGTGGTGCGAATTGGTACCTATAGTCAGGTTGAGGAATTCTATTTCCAACTTTCTCTAATCTTCGATTACGATGACGACCTCTACTTCTTTTGCGATGAATCGTTGATATGTGAGATACTTTTTGAGATGGTTTATTAGAGCTTTTTTGTTGATTAACTTCCTTGTTTCCTTGGTTGTTATCTTTTTTATCCTTGTTTTTATCGACATTGCTAGAAGTCGTAGAAGAATCTTTAGCTGCATCAGCTTTTGAAGAATCTTTAACTTCTTCGGTTTTCTTATCATTCTTTTCAATTTCAACAGGTTTAATTTTTGGTATTTTGAAAACTTCCTTTAAATCTTTCCATTGCTTGAGTAATTGCAAAGCTAAAATGCTAACATCTGCAGCAGTCCAATTTTTTCGTTTGGAGCTGCAATCGATTATGGCACAATCCTGGATTTCATCCTTAGATTTTGATATATTGTCTACTTTTTTAGAAACCGAATAATTCAAAGGCTTATGGTAATCACGTAAAGTGTCTACTGATGAGCTTGTAACTTTCGATGGTTCAATGGCTGATTTCTTATCACGATGAGTGGTATTATTTTGTGTTGATGACTCCAGATTAATTTCTGATTGGCTGGAACTTTGCGACAACTTTCTCTCTTTGAGTATCATTGCCATTTTCTTGATAACATCTTGGACAAAATCCTCTGAAATTATTCCAGATCGGTCATTGGTTTGCACTTGACTTCTGATTTCGGTTATTTCATCGCAGTCTGAATCTAAGGTAATACTTTTGACGTTTTCCTCACAATTCTTACTGATCTCATTTTGGTTAATGTCTTTAGTTGGGTTAGTCTTTTGTTTGTCACAATTCTCTTCCAATTCCACAATTTCAGGCAAATCCGTATTTCCAACACAAGAACGAGATGAAGTACATGCTTTGTTGGATAAACCATTGCCTTTATCATTGTGTACGCCAGAATTATCAACATACACTACTTGAATATCATCAGGTTCATTTCCCTTCTTTAATTTTGCCCATTTTTCAACCAAATCCCACACTCTAGCAGTCTTTAAGGCAGTTTTACTGGATACTGGTAATCCGGTCAAAATCTTGAGAATAGCAATTTTAAGATAAAAATCAGTCTCTTTACATCTAACCATCCAAAGGTATAAAATTTTAAGTCCATTATTGTCTAAGAATAGCTTTAAATATTCAACACGATTAGTGTTGGCAAGAATCTTTAACAGTTTAAATTTGGAGGGTGAATCATTAACTCGCATCATCAACTTAACAAGATCGATTGTTTGTTCCCTATCAGCCAATCCTCTGTCGCCAGTATGTCTTGTAATTCTCTTCACGCTTCTTAGATAGTCTCTGTTTGGAGTCAGTCTTTTCCTCGACGATTTGTTTCCTCTCGATATGGCCTGACCAGGCGAAGAATCTTTATCCTTATCCATTTTGGTATTAACACAGGCACACAAGGCTATCACATGCAATAAAACTTGACGATTACAAACATGGCGGTTAAAAACATATGTGAAACAGTCATTGAAAAGGGTTGCTCATAGGTTGACCGAGAGGACAAAAACAAAAAACTGGTTTAGGCGGTAACTTATGAATGTTTCTCATTCTGCAAAAAAAGCTACAAACCATTTTTTCCCATAACGAAGAGGAATATAAAATTTCTCGAAATGCTCAAAACAATCTAGTAACATAAAATGGGAGAGTAAATAGAGTAGAAATGGCAATAGTGATAATGGGAGCAAACTCAAAGTAATAAACATAAAACGCGTAGATGATGTATAATCACCAATCTATTAATAGATAAAACAACTGATCTCGACGTATCAAAAGTCGACAATTTTAACTACTAAATAACTTAGGAAGGGAGAAATAAAAATTTAGAGGAAAACACTTGTTTGAAGAAGGAAGTTGGTTCACGCTACCAATCAAACAGAGGACCAAGTCTAGCTTGTTCATGGACAATAGGGATAGTTGAATTGATTATTACACTTGTAGGTATGATTCATAACATGAAATCAATCTGGACTTTCTTTGATCTTGAAAATGAAAATTGATTTAATTTAATAAAATTTAATTTTTTTCTTTTTCATTGTTTGTTAAAAAAACAAAACTGTCAGAATATTATGTTCATCGAGATGAGGATGACTTGGATAAACATCAGATCACAGGGATTATAAGACAGATTTTGTTTGCTCTCGATAGATATTTGATCGGGAAATCGCATTCCTTTGTATAGTCACTAAATATATTTTACATTAACCTTAGATTGCCTCAAGATAGACCAAAAGGGCATAAATTTCTTGAGACGTTTTGAATCCCACAGCTGTGAGCCAAGCATCAGCAATTTTGACCACCAGTACAAATATAGTATGAATTGTATATCAATAATAAATAAAATCTTCTCTAGTTTGGAGATTTACATTTTTCTCAATCTTCCTTTTCCAAATAAAAATTCACAAATCCTATCAATTGCAAAAGCCAATGCTAGATCAGCACCTAATATCGAGAGAACGACCCATTGAAACTGGATAATGACATTTGAAAAGAAAAGATATATTAATTATACGCTAATAATCGACACGATTCAAAACAATTGCCGATTGAAACCGACAACTTTCCAAAATTGTTCTTCAATTAAAAATGGCTTAATAACAAATAAAATTTTTTTGGAAAGCTGATCAATTCCAATTGGAAATTATTGGTCGCAACATTTTTCATTCGTAACTCACCTCAAGAGGGAACTCAACGATGGCAAATTGTTGAGCCAGGTCAGGAAAATAACCTGTAACAAGAGCAATTACAGCTGTTATAGAGCCAAATATGCTGTACATAAGCGGTTTGTTTTCTTTCAAACTTTCCATAAAAGGATGGCCCTGAAATAAAATTGAGAAAAAATTAAATATTTACAAAATTCGGGGAAAAAGTCGGGATACGGGTTTAGTCCACTACATCAAAGTCGAAAAGGTTGATTTTGATGCAAAAATTACCTTATAATTAACCGCAAATGTTGATACTTGTAAAGCAACAGAAATTATATACACTGTGCTGTTAAGCAATGATGGTTGGAATTCAGCATCAAGATTGGTGAATTCATCATTTCTCGGAGGTGATCTAGCTTTAGCCTCTCTAACCAAGTAGATGAGAGTACAAAAGTGAATAGCAAATTGCAACATTACAGTTGATATGGTGTAAATATTGAAAATATTAGCTAGAGGTCTCGTCTTAGAAAGCACTGTCAATGGCTGTGGAAAAAGAGAAGATGAAAAGAAATTGTCATCATTATTAATCATCAAAATTACTTTCATCAATTTGCTTTCAGAACCAATAATCACCTTAGAGCGAGATATAAAAAGGAAGCAACCAGCCAAAAGAAAACCTTGCAACGTAGCTTGACCATCACTGAATTTGATGCCGTCTAGGTAAAGTACGCTGTGACTGTAAGCCAAAATGAGCGCATTCAAAGCCAATATTTTGAACATTTGTAGTGTTGTTACAAGAGTACATCGTCCTTGTTTGACTATATGGCAAACTGTTAAGAAAAAGACATTAAAATGATGCAAAACCAAAATCTGAAATTAAACAAAACCATTTACTTATAATACTTACCACATTGAATCGAAGACAATTTGGAAGTGAAAGGTGCGGCAATACTAGCATCACCTAATTTTACAATCTGAGCTTTATCTTGCTCATCCATTTCTTGTAACATTTTCTGCAAATTTCGCTGCATTTCAGCATATTTTTCAGCACGAGTTAAGGGTTGTTGTCGAGGACTATTTCCAACTGCAGTTGATCTATCGTTGGGTCCTATGCGACGGTTGGCGCGGTTCCGCAAGTTTGGATCATTTGCATTCATCAAACTTGATCCTAAGGCAGCTGGATCAATTGGTTTACGAGGCTTGAAGTCATTTGGTGTCAATGGAGCGTGAGTTAATAATGCAACTCCAACATCAGCATGTTTCAAAGCACCAACATCATTAGTTCCATCACCACACATTAAGGTTGTGTATCCTAAACTTTTAAGGGAAGTTATCACAAATTCCTGCAACAAACAAAAATACAAAATGATCAGAATTCAGAAAAATAGAAAAAAGAATTGAAAAATAGATAAGAATTAAAAGAAAAACCAAGCTAGAGTAAAAATGATTAATAGTTGAACAATAATTAAAGCCTGAATTTGCTCACAAACAGTTTATGAAAGAAATCTAAAAAAAGTGGTGAAGGTTTTTTTCCAGTTTTTACACTAAACCCATGGTTTTGAGATCTCAAGTTAGATGCAGAACCGGCGAACCTTTCACCTTTAGCATCTTCTACTAACATGTAAGTAGAGAGCATATGTGATTGTTTGGAGTTTTTTTGAGATAATCCCGATGTTTGGGCTGATTTGGTGGAGATGACGTTTATCTCAGTCACCAAGTCTTGAACTCAAGACATTTTATTTTGGTGCTGAACCCCTTAACTCTAGGCTATAGAACAATCACGAAAATAGATTGAACAAAGTAGATCCCAAATTTTACCTTTTGTTTAGGAGTAACACGGGCCCATACAACAATACGAGGGAGAATTTTGTAAAGAAATTTAGCATGATTTTCAAGAAGATAGTTCATTCCATCGCCAGTAAGGCATAAATCGTAGTCAAGGTAAAAATCTTGTCTCAAATCTGGAATACATTCGTACTCTGATTCAGTATGGATAGCTTTCCAATGCCATGCAGCTCCTAGTTATAAAATGAACACGACAAAAGAAATTAGATTTTCAAATTTCACGTTTGAATAGAGGATATTAATTGTTACCGTTTTCGGAAGATGTCAAGATTAAAGTGTCTTCGTTCCTACAGAACAAAAGTTCTCTAGCTACGTGACAGGCAGTTAAAGGTCCATCTCCAGTAATCATCATGACCTATGTAAGATAAAATGAAAGTCAGTTGATTAAAATAAAGAACTTTGTTAAACGATTTTGTTAAACTAACTCACATAGTGACTTGAATCTATAATTTCTTTTATCACAGCTTTTGAATCTTTTTTGAGAGGACAAGAAATCACAATGAATCCAACAAATTCTAAATTCTTTTCAATATCTTCTCGAGACAAGTCACGTAATTCTTGATGAGATAGATTTCCAATTTCACGACGACCAAGTGATAAGATACGAGCACCTTTTTTAGACATAGAAATGTATATTTCATCGTAGTTTTCGGGGATTTTGGTGAACTAAATAAATAATAAGATATAAGATAGAAATAAATTAAGATCGCAGATAATTTTAGCTCTAATTTAAAACATTGAAATGAAATTAAAACTTACCATATTACGGAGAACTTCAGGCGCTCCTTTCGTTAATGCTAAATAATTGGTCCCAGAAGATCCAGGTGGAGTGTAACCGGCTATTACAGACATTCTTTTAAGACTAGATGAAAAATGAAATCGGTGGAAAATTTTGATAGCAGGATGTTTGCCCTTTTTGGGTATAACTGCTTCTCCTTTGGTCAAGTTCCATTCGATTGCAGATAAAATGGATTTTTCAAGGGGATCCCCAACTAAACCATCATCTAATTGAACCAAAGAATGACAAGTGGCCAGCACTTGAATTGTCTCAATCGGTGCATCGATAACAGGTATAATATTGGAAGATGGTTTCTCTAATAAATGATATCAAGCATTACATTAGCAATTAGTATACGTGTGATTAAAATTTCAAAATAAATAAACATACCTTGTCCTTTAATGCCAGTGACACCTTCAACTACGAGATCATCACTTGTCAAAGTTCCAGTTTTATCAAAGCAGCAAATTTCAACTTTACCAGCAAATGGAATGCGAAAAGGTTCAGTGCAATAAATAACTTTGAATGAAACAAGAAAAAGATTAGTTAAAAAATACAATATCAAAGTAGGTAACAGGACTTACATAATTTGGAAAGAGATAAAAGTGATGTATTAACTGCAAGTGACAACTCTATTGGAAGCTCTGGTGGAACAACAGACGTTAAGATGAGAGTACATTCAAGGAAAAGCTTGTAACGATTGCGTTTAGGATCTTCAGTTCCTTTAACCCAAACATAACCCGAAGCAGCGATAGCGAAAACCAGCAAAAACAAAATAAAAGCGAATGTTTCCAAATTATTGGCCGTGATACGTTTTACACCGAATAGAATAGTACGAAGTAGTTTTCCTTGAGAAGTGTTGAAACTTGTTCTCAATACGTAAGCAGTACAGCCACCATCAGAAGCTGAGAAAATAAAGAAGTAATATTTGAAAATTAGGGATCGAAATTCACTAAGAAAAAGTTTAAAGCTCTTTACCTTTTATTCCAGTCGTAGATTTAACAGGTGGAGTATTTTGAACCACTTTTGTACCTCCATAAAGAATATGAAGTCGACCATCTGCGTCTACATCAAGAGGACGGTTGAGTTCATTCACATTTTCGATTGGTTCCTTCATTTGAGGTACAGATTCACCAGTTAACATAGATTCATCGACAATACATGAACCTCGAAGCAGCAAAAGATCACAGGGTACAAGATTATCATTTTGTGATCGATTAACTGACACAATATCACCGGGAACTAATTCATCACTTGGGATCGCTCTCCACCTTCTATTACGGTAAACCTGAATTGGGTAAGGTTTGTTACCCATTTTACGGATTTCCGAAAGATTTCGAAGTTGTTGTTGGACAAGAACACATTCAAACGCGATGAGCATAAAAAGAGTGAACAAGGAGTAGTACCAAAATTCATCAAGACACCAAAGAGCAACACAGAAAACTTGGAAAACAAAGAACGGGGCTGTTGCTCTCTCTTTGAAAAGTTCCATAAATTCTGGGACAACCATTTCCAGATCATTTTTACCATAATGTTTCTCAGCAAGAGCAAGATCATTTTCTTCTTGATGACCTTTCCAATCCAGATAGAACGACAAATTCAAATTTACAGGAAATTTGAGAACTTCAAATTTTTCAAGTCTTTCGTTGAAAATGTATTTTGTCTTTTGAAATCTAAACCATAAAACTTCTTGACCATCGTCTGAAATTTTTGACCGGCATAATCGCACCAATTCTGTTGATCCGTTGTTAGGAGTGGGAACAACTTTTGCAAAAAGTCCTATGGATGGATGAGAAACCTAGAAAATAATAAGAACGATTTAGAAACTGGGAGCAAATAGATTTAAACAAGATGATTGTCTCATAAGGAATGAAATGAAAAAAACTGAAATAGGCAGAGGATAGAGTGGTTTGCTCAAATTCACATATTTGACAAATAACTTAAGATTAGTGAACATCGACTCAATGCATCGTACAACAAGCACTTAAGCAAACATACAGGGAGAGTCTAATGAATTAAATGGTTAGAACAAATATCTTTAAGCTTAGCTTTACTCTCTTGTTTCAGTTATTTCACGTTTTCGAGTCAGAAAGCTGAAAAAACGGAGACTCACCTTACTGTACGCGAGAAAACAGTTTACATCGACTGACCAGTGACAAAAAAGATAAGTAAGAATTTGAAAAATAACTGCACCAGCCACCGAGATAAACCAGATTTCTTGAGATTCCTCAGCAGAATACTTAAATAGCCAAAGATTGATTAGAGCAAAATATATACACAAAAAAGGTCCCAGGTAAGAATGAAGAAGTAGAGGAAGTGGCTTGTAACAGGTTACATCAGATACCAATTCATCAACACTGTCCCGCAGTTTGGCCATGGGTATCTATAATCAGCAAAATGCTGGAAAACACCAACAGCAAATTTAATAATTAGCAAAATTATTGATGTCACTAAATAAAATTGATTCTACCCTTTTCATGTAATTTAAATTAAATTAAGGTTTGCTCCTCTAAATGTGTTCCTCATCAGAACTCATCCAGCTGGGTAAGTCTTACCGTAAGACTTATCTGTCCAACTGTAACCAAGTAACCGGTTCTCAGAGGGAAACACAAAGAATCAAACCAATATTTTCTTCAATTATCTGCAATAAACTTTTTCGTTTTACACGAATTATCTTTAAACCGACATTGCGGATCATCAGTTCTCAATTGCTCATCAAATTAATAAGCAGGGTATCATGATAATATGATCCATTGAGTTTAAAAGCAACTGAGGCAACTTTTGAGAATTTCAGTGAATAATAATTTAATACATGAACTTCGACCTATCCCATGACAGGGGTTAACTTTTAATCGTCAAACTTTAATATTTATAAAGATTCATCAATTCATTTTAGCAGATTAATTGGAAATTGATTTAAATGATAAAGATGACAATTATCAATGACACTCATTAACTTGATGATTATTGTGCATTTTATGTAAGCAAGAATGTGATGGTGAGTCCTCTTTTAAGTATAAATATTTGGTAGCTGTAATCACTAATTTTTTTAGCAAATTTATAATTGTTAATCAGTAATTGTCAATTAGGAATTAAATTCAGATCAGAAATTTAAAATCAAGAGATGAGAGCGCCATCTAATGTGAACTCGATGAGGCTCAACCGCTAATTTTGATTTTACAATTTATTAGATAATTCGCGATTATCCATCATTGACCGTCATTAATCTTTCAATTTGTATGAGGAAAAAGTTCAGTGAAGAGAAGAGACTCTTGAAGTTAGTTATTTGTTAGATGTGTCTTTTTAAAATGAAGTAACATTGATAGAATGCTAATGTAAAGGCACCTAAAAGTCCTTTTGTAATTTGAAACACAGTAGCTTAATAAATCTAATGCATTGAAGGAAACCAATAAAGTTTTCATTTCTAATCATTGCTTGGTTGCAGGTTTAGGTCAGAGTTTCAGAAGTTAATGAGTGATTTATTGGTCTTCAAACGAGAAATAGCCATAACCATGGAAACTTCCCTGTGGAAAGACTTATGTTAGATGAAAAGGAGAGATGAAAAAGAGAGGAAGAAAAAAAAGAGCTTTCATAATGAGCCATTATTGTAGGAATAGACAAGAAACCTTTACAGACAAGCTGAATCAGAAATGATATTTGTTTTGTTTACTAAATAAAAAGATAAAGAAATGAATAAATGACTTAAATATTGTTGATTCTTGATTTCTTACTTTCTTTTTACGTTTATAGAGTTATAAGTATCAAAGTATTTGCATATTTTGTCAACTTTTTTCCATATCTTGCTCTGAGTTTCTTCTACAGCTTGATATCTTTGTTTACATCCAATTCAACATTTGAAGGCCTAGTTTTTCACCTTTTATTTTAGTGTGCTGATAATGGCTGGCTGCTTGGACAACTTTCAAATAAATACACCTGAATGGTTGAATCTTAGTGAAAAAAGGAATGCTGTTGCATCTATAATTGCCGGTGTTTTGGTGAGTAAAAACAATTCTGATGTTCTGCTGCCTTCGATGTTATCTTATATTTCATCTATTGTCTCTATTTCTTCTAGTTTTTCACTGGTTGGTGGATAATCATTGATGTGAATTCATTATTTGGCTCCGAAGATTTCAGCCTTGGTTACCATGTCTGTGGCATATTTGCCACCGTTTCTCTATTCATGTAAGTTAAACCATTTTTGTATTTAACTCTTTTTGCGTATTTTATATTAATGTGTATGTCTGAAATGTAATCATATATTGAATTTTTCCTTTTCTTATTTAATATCAGGATCAATGCCGTTTCCAATGGTCAGGTTAGAGGAGAATCTTATAACACAGGATTCCTCGGACAAAAAGCTGCTCGAACCTGGTTGTTCGTTGGATTTGTTCTGGGATTTAGTTCAATAATTGCAGCAACCTGGATTTTATTTGCCGCATACGTAATACCAAATAAACAAGTAATTTATCCTGGAATTGGCCTTTTCCTCCAAAACATTCTAATATTCGCTGGGTAAATATTTTTTTCGCTTTCACAGTTTATAGAACTCAAATTTATTCATACAATTTATTTTATTCTTTCCATTTATTAGATCACTTGTCTTCAAATTCGGTCGCTCTGAGGATGATATGAACTAATATTGTAGCTAAAATATAGTGCTTATCTGGACACTTGAACATAAAGAAATGAATCCTATCATGTTTCATTCACAATAGCCAAATCCGTGAATATACTGAGTACATGAAATTTTTGCTTGTATTCTTTGGATAAACTGATACACGGGTCAAGCTTTAGTGTAAAAAATCACTTGATCTCTGAGCTTCGTATTTTTTCTTGAAATGATTTTCTATTCAATAAAGAACTGATTGTATATCTCAATTTTTTCTGTGCAATTTTATTCGTTTACTTTAATTGATTGTTTATTTTAGCATATTATTATCTAAAATTCTTGTTCAAAGACTGATCAATTCTTATTTAACTCTAATAAAATAATTATTAAAATAAACTTTCATTAAATCGATAAATTGAAAAGGCCGCCAAAACTCGATGTGAACGCTACCTTTTGTTTGATATAAATGGTTTAACCGCGAAATACGAATGTTTATTTGTTGAAATAAAATATTGAAGATGCTTGGAATTGTTGTGATTGATTTGATAGGTAATAACAGAATGTTACAGGTAAAAGTTGGCAGATTAAGAAGGCGATTTGGTGAAATTATTTCTCAACATTGGGAAAGAATTGGAAAGTAAACTCAATGGGAATAATATTTAAGAAGAATGTAAAGAGTCGAATCAAAGTTTCACACTTTATCCTCACTGGTTAAAGGATTCAGGTCAGAGTTTGAGAAACTGAGTCGATGGAAATGCAATTCATGTAACGATAGAAAGGAGAAAAAGGAATAAGAATAAGAGGGAAAAGTGAGGAGAAGAGAAGATGAAGGAGCAAGAATAAAACTGATAGAATGAACCTTTGAAGAAGAGTTATATTTGAAATGTTTTGTTGACTAAAGAGAAGGCAAAGGGAATGAATAGAGTGTGAATGACTTAAATACTGTTGATTCTTGATCTCTTATTTTCTTTCTGTTTCATTTGTTCAACTCATAAAAACAATAGTGATATAATTACCAAACATTTACATATTTATTATCATCATTGGAAGTCTTTTCAACCTTATTCTGATTGCCACGGATCTTAGCCTGGACAAGATTGTGATTGCAAACGACATCGTGAATCATCACCACCAACAAAGCGAAAGTGAACCGATGAGTTATGTTTCTTTGTCTGTTTAACCTATGTGTTGTTTTTTAGCTGAAAAAGACAAACCGAGTTAATTTGCTCTCTTATTTCAGTGACTTCAACAACTTTTAACCATGATTTTGGGTTTTATAAACTGTTACCATGAAGAAAACCATGTTAATTTCAGATCAAGTAGAACATAAAAAATTTAAGTGCTGCTGTTGAATAATTTATAACTATTATGATTATGATTATCAAGTGAAAATAAGTCAAAAGTTGATCATCTTTTTTTCTCCTTCAACCTTTTCACTCCTTTTTTCCCTCTACTTATTCACCTTTCTTATTTACCACACATTTTTTTCGTAAGCAACATTTTCAACCATTTCTTTGGAGTTAATCACAAGTTCATCTGATAAAGTGTGAACCAGAAAAGAAAGATTAACTTGAGTTTGTAATATTTTAAAAACCAAAACCCAAAAAATAGACCAACAACAACAGCTTTTATAATTCAACTTTAATCCAACGGTTGAAAGAGGTTTGTATACTTTTTACACATTTAACTAACCAGAATTTCAATCTCTTACTGATTGATGTGATCACCACCTATTTGATTACCAAATTGTTTATTGAATTTTCTTCTTCTTCTTCTTCTTTATTTAACAGTTGATTAACCATGACGCTGTTTCACAATTTGATTTTATTGTGCATTCAAAGTGGCTCTCTACTCTCCAATGTTATTGTCACTGTTAACCTTAATGAATCTTTATCATTGCCATTGTCTTCCTCCTCTTTATTGTCATCATCACCATCATCACAACCAACAGATGATTTAGAAATTTCAAGTGACAAAGTAAACACAAAAGACAGTCAACTTGAAAATGAGCAATCACGAGTACGAAGAGATGGTAAGTCAATCATGAGTTTTCTCAGCAAACAACGTCAAGTCTCATTTGCTTAACCCACCATAATTGAACCCATTTTTTAATTAATCAATCATATGTAATCACAAAATCAAAGTTACAATGTGAACCAAATAACCCAAACTAACTAAATCCAGAAAGATTAACAAAATCAGAGGAAAAGCAGCTAAAAACTGTCATTTTGTTTTTTTTTGTCTTTTTTTCTATTCTCTTATGACATTTTTTTCTTCCTTTTTTTTGTATAAGCAATTTTAAAGACTGGTGTGTTATCGATCAAAGATGTGGTTAGACAAAAGGATATAACCAAAAGTAATGCCAAAATTTTAGGACCCAAGAAAAAATGTTGATAACTTGAAAGCTTGTCATTGTTGCCTTGAGCTGTAAAATTGAACCTTCACTTACAGCAACCCAACCACATTCACAAAACCAAACTGTCCATTGGTCGTCAAGTTAATTTACTTTTTGATTTTTCATTTGATATCAATTTATATTTTATTATTTTTATATTTTTATATACAATATAACATTTTCCACTTCCTTTTGAAATCATTGAACCATCAATTCAGTTGCTGTTAACTCTTCTCTTCCCTCACCATCCCATCCATGATGAAAATCATCATCTTCCTCAGGTTATCAGAATGAAGGTTAAAAGAAGGAATGAAAATGTTTAACTAAAAACAATGTTATAAAATGTACTCGAAACGACGCTCAAGGCGTAAAAATATTACCTCGACAGGATAAAAGGGAAAAACGGGAAAAATGTATTTCCCATTCAAGATATAAAATATATATTCCATCCATTAAGCCAATCAAATATTGAAAATGCTCAGAATTTCCTATTTCCTTTCTGATAATGATATTAACAAAGTAAAGCTAAAAAATGAAGTTGATTGAAATGACAAGACAAGTTGATCTGGAAGATTAAATGAGACAAAATTGTCCAATCTCAAGATTTATTTTGACAATTTGAAAACTCAATTTTAAAAAATGAAATCCATCATAACCAAGAATAATAACAATTGTCAGGCAAAAATTGTCATTTCTTTTCATAAATAGTCGTGATAATAACATGATAATCATATGATAATCATGATTCGATAACAATACCATTATGTTGAGTATATTCAAGAATCCTTGGAATGCCGGAGTGAACCAGAAAAGGTAACAAAAGTGATTATCTTTCATCACAATAACTATAATTATCAATGTTGAAATTGAATACAAGATTATCCTTTTTTTGTGTTTCGTTTGCTAAAAGCCATTTACCAAAGGATTCCAAGTAAATTTGAAATTCTCAACATTTCAAAGTTAATCTATTATTTGGTGTGTTAAAGGTTGTAATTAACATGAAAGAAGGGAATGGAAAAAGCAGTTAATTCTGTCTCTGAAATTTCCAGTGAATAGAGAATAGAACAGTTTTTCCATTTCAAGTACAATTGAAGAGATTCCAGGATCACAATTCATTGAACTGGAAGTTAACTGAACAACATTATGTGTGGCAAAGTATACAGAGTTGACCAATTGAAAGGAACACAAATGAATATAATTAAACAGTTGAACCTTGAAAACATTAAAATGATTAACTCAATCCAGTTATAATGAATTAAACTTGATTACTGACATTCATATCAGATATTTAACTCTCATGTTTCAATGTCTGTTGGGAGTTTTAATCTTAACAAAACCTTTCAATGTCTTCAACAATAAGCTCGATAGTCGATTAAAATCCCAATAACAATGAATTCAACTTTCAATTTACTGATTGCAAAGGAAAGGTGAAAAGATAATTAACAGAATCTGGTCAAGAATCAGAAAAATTTCAGTAACAATTGAAAATCTAGATTCGAAAGAAATATTGAAAGATTTATCAAAATCCAAAATCAAACCCAAAACGAGTTGAAAGGCTGAAAATTTTGACTTTTTAATGGCAATTTTTACCGATGAAAAAGGTCTAAAAATTCAAGAGAAAGAAAAGAAGAAAAAGGTTTTAAGGTTTTTTAGTGCAAAAATACTGAAGATTATCATGGAAAAAGAATCTCTACTGAAAGTTCAATTCTTTGCTATTCAACAGTAATGTGTATCTAAAAAGGTTAAAAAGAGAACTGAAATTGTAACTCAAGATTGAGGGAAAAAGTAAAAATTTGAAACAGAATTGTTGCAACTCAATATTTCTGAACTCGTGAATTCCATCGAGTGTTTGCATCTTTTAGATTTACACAGAAACCAAAATCTAAACTGAATTTTCTGAAAAAAAGTCCATTTTCTCAGCGAAATAAATTTTCCCATTAGAAAAACCAAAAAACCTAAAAACCTAAAATTTACCAGAAATTGAATTTAAGTTGCTTTTTGATGAGACTTTCCATTTTGGTAAATGCCTTTTAATGAAACATTTGAAAATACGTAAATCATTTCGGAATTGTTCATTTAACGAAAACCCAAAGTCCATTTTCTCGGCCAAACAATTCTTTCTATTGGAAAAACCTAAAAACCTAAAAACCTAAAAATGAACCAGAAATTGAATTAAAACTGTCTGCGAGTTTTGAACACATTTTCTGAACAGTCTTTTATTGAAATATTGAAATATTACAGATTCAACGTTTCACATGGACTTGTCAGTCTTTTTCGAAGTTCATTTCAATGTTCAAATGATGATCATGTAAAATGTGTCAATTTTTTTCTTCCATTTTGATAAGTTTCATTCTTTTCTTTTCTTTATTGCTTCCCATTCAATGTAATGTATTTAAAGTACAAACATTGAAATCAATTGGTGAAATTGTAATACATTTTCATGTATAAAATGATTAACTTAAAAAATTGAGTTTCATTTTTTCTCAGTTTCCAACTTTTCCTCACTTTTTTTCAATATACTTTTGGTGTTTCAATCGATTATTATTATCTCAATGCTTGGATATATGTTCAATTGAATAGTTTGAGGTTCAATTTTTGATTTCAACTAAAACATGTTTTGATGAAATTTTATTATTATTATTATAAAATATTATCTGACGAGTGTTAAGTGAAATGGCAAGAAGAAAATGTATGATTCAAGTGAAGACAAACAATGGGAAACAGATTTACAGAATTGCAGGGAAGAAGAAGAGAAAAAAAAAGAAGAAGAAGAAATATAATTCAAGATGAACGTTCAAGAATATAATGGTTAAAGGAAAAGGAAAATAACAAGAATCAGATCATGAATGAAATGAAAAGAAAACAAAGATTTTTTTATTCTCTCTTTACCGTTATTTTTTTTCTTTCACCAAAAAAAAGGTTATTTCTTATTTCACTTGCCAGACTGATAAAGACGATTCCTTTTCAGGGAATAATATGGTGAAAAGAAATGATGAAAATGAAGATGAGGATGAAAACGGAAAGTTATAATATAAGTAGGAAATAATAATTCTTATTCTTGTTAAGATTAGTTTTATATGGAAATGGCATCAGAATAATGGAGAGACACATGAAGAAATAATGATGATGATTAATTTACTGTTCACTTGGTAATCATGCAATTGAGTAGAAAAATGTGAAAATCGAAAATGAAAATAGATAATTGATGAGTTACAGAAATGCCAGTGAACAGAATTCGTTATTCAACGTTCAATTGGTTTGCAGGTTAAGCATTTTATCTGCAAATTTGACTTCAATTGGTTAAAATGGGTTCACTCGATCAGTCAATTTTGATTCTTGATTGAGTTTCTTTGACTTTTGAGTAAAATTCAGAATCAGAATACATTTTGAAGGGAAATTTCCATTTTCAGATTCCATGTTCAGCTTTGAATATTCCACTTTTTTCTCGATTTTCAATTCTTTTCCAATTGCATTAATTTGATGTATTTTCCTGCAGCTGTTCACTTGTTACTGATTTAGACTCTTTAGGAATTAACTGTGTTCATCACTCAGCTTTGGGTGAAAAGTTGAACCATTTTCTTGTCTTTAAAATGCAACCTTTTCTGATTATCATCAAATTTACAATTGAAATGTCCTTAGAAAGGTTAGGTCAATATTTTCCTAACCTCGAGAACTTTTCCATTGTTCTTTGAACGAACAAAAGTCTAACATTTGAAAGATTTCAATCACTTTGTTCAAGTGCAACTTAGATTCACATCTTTGCTCAAAAAACTTTTATGATTGAAGAAACCTGATAAAATCTCAAAAGAACTCAAGTTTTCGCTGTTTCATAACATTAATAAACGTTTCGAATTCAAGATTAAATGAAAAGATTTGAAATTCCAAGTGCCAACATTCTCCTTCCCAGGGCTTAAATGCTGAACAACAGTGATGGCAAACTTGTCCGTTTGAAGATCATGAATAATTACATCCTTCAAACCTGAAAATTTTCAAGTCTAATGTGATCAACACATAATTAGATGGTAAAAGTTTCATCAATTTCATGATTACTTCACAAGGCTCATTGAGATGAGAAAAAAAAGGAAAATAAATGCTTTGACATTTCTTTTCAATCTCACTGAGCTATTTGTTTCCTTATCAGTCTAATGATACCTGAGTCTAAAACATGTAATAGCAATTATTTGTTTCAACAATGTTGTGTCGAGAAAAATATTTTGACATTCAATTATATTCTTTGGGTTTTTCATCATTATCATCATGCACCAACCAAATGAAAAGGTATAATTGAGAGAAGACAAAAAAGCAGAGAATGACATTCTCATGAATTCATCACATTTATTAATTGAAATTTATTTTCTCTTTCCATTTGAAGGAAGAAGAAAAAAGTTGACATTTTCATTGAATTGCTAATTTTCAAGTCATTACAGTCCATATTGAAACAATGGTTACAATTGTTTTCATGAAATTCACAGTTTTTCCATTCGCCATTTGGAAATGATAAATTTCATTTTGTTCAGTTTATTGACCAAATTGGCTCGTTCAACTGTTCAACATTTAATGATGCCAATTGCGACCTTTTATTATCAAGTCTAATGGTGAAAATAAATCAATGGAAGCCAAGTAGAAACAAATTGAAC